TTAGGGTACCCTAGTACCATGGAAATAAGGTGACCAGCCCAGCATCGATTAGGTTACCCTAGAACCATAGGAATCAGGTGACCAGCCCAGCATGGATTAGGGTTCCCTTGAACCATAGAAAATCTGGTGACCAGCCCAGCATGGATTAGGGTACCCTAGAACCATATTAATCAGGTGACTAGCCCAGCATGGATTAGGGTACCTTAGAACAAAGGAATCAGGTGACCAGCCCAGCATCGATTAGAGTACCCTAGAACTATAGGAATCAGGCGACCAGCCAAGCATGGATTAGGGTACGCTAGAACCATAGGATTCAGGTGACCATCCCAGCATCGATAAGGGTTCCCGAGAACTACAGAAATCAGGAGACCAGCCCAGCATGGATCAGGGTACCCTAGAACCATAGGAATCAGGTGACCAGCCCAGCATTGATTAGGGTTACCTAGAACCATAGGAATCAAGGGACAGGCCAGCATTGATTAGGGTACGCTAGAACCATAGGAATCAGGTGACCAGCTCAGCATGGATTAGGTTACCCTAGAACCATGGGAATTAGGTGACTAGCCATGCACCTATTAGGGTACCCTAGAACCATATGAATCAAGGGACAGGCCAGCATTGATTAGGATACCCTAGAACCACAGGGATCAAGGGACAGGCCAGCATTGATTAGGGTACCGTAGAATCATATGAATCAAAGGACAGGTCAGCATTGATTAGAATACCCTAGAACCATAGGGACCAAGGGACAGGCCAGCATCGATTAGGGTACCCTAAAACCATAGGAATCAAGGGACAGGCCAGCATTGATTAGGGTACCCTAGAACCATAGGAATCAGGGGACATGCCAGCATCGATTAGGGTACCCTAGAATCATGGGAATCTGGTGACCAGCCCAGCATGGATTAGGGTACCCTAGAACCATAGGAATCAAGTGACCAGCCCAGCATGGATTTGAGTACCATAGAACCATAGGAATTAGATGACCAGCCAAGCATCGATTAGGGTTCCCTAGGACCATAGGAATTAGAGGACCAGTCAAGTATCGATTAGGGTATCCAAGAACCATAGGAATCAGGTGACCAGCCCAGCATAGATTAGGGGTACCCTAGTACCATGGGAATTAGTGACCAGCCCAGCATGGATTAGGGTACGCTAGAACCATAGAATCAGATGACCAGCCCAGAATGGATTAGGGTACCCTAGTACCATGGGAATCAGGTGACCAGCCCAGCATCGATTGGGGTACCCTAGAACCATAAGAAGCAGGCGACCAGCCCAGCATCAATTAGGGTACCCTGGAACTATAGAAATCAGGCGACCAGTCCAGCATCGATTAGGGTACCCTAGAACCATATGAATCAGGTGACCAGCCCAGCATGGATTAGGGTTCCCTTGAACTAAAGAAATCTGGTGACCAGCCCAGCATAGATTAGGGTACCCTAGAACCATAGGAATCAGGTGACTAGCCCAGCATGGATTAGGGTACCTTAGAACCAAAGGAATCAGGTGACTAGTCCAGCATCGATTAGAGTACCCTAGAACTATAGGAATCAGGCGACCAGCCCAGCATGGATTAGGGTATGCTAGAACCATAGGATTCAGGTGACTAGCCCAGCATGGATTAGGGTACCCTAGAACCATAGGAATCAGGTGACTAGCCCAGCATGGATTAGGGTATCTTAGAACCAAAGGAATCAGGTGACCAGCCCAGCATCGATTAGAGTACCCTAGAACTATAGGAATCAGGCGACCAGCCAAGCATGGATTAGGGTACGCTAGAACCATAGGATTCAGGTGACCAGCCCAGCATCGATAAGGGTTCCCGAGAACTACAGAAATCAGGAGACCAGCCCAGCATGGATCAGGGTACCCTAGAATCATAGGAATCAGGTGACCAGCCCAGCATTGATTAGGGTTACCTAGAACCATAGAAATCAAGAGACAGGCCAGCATTGATTAGGGTACCCTAGAACCATAAGAATCAAGGGACAGGCCAGCATTGATTAGGGTACCCTAGAACCTTAGTAATCAGGGGACAGGCCAGCATTGATTAGGGTACCCTAGACCCATATGAATCAAGGGACAGGCCAGCGTTGATTAGGATACCCTCGAACCATATGAATCAGGTGACCAACCCAGCATGGATTAAGGTACCTAGAATCATGGGAATCAGGGGACAGGTCAGCATCGATTAGGGTACCCTAGAACCATAGGCATCAGGTGACCAGCCCAGCATGGATTAGGGTACCCTAGAACCATACGAATTAGGTGACCAGCCAAACATTGATTAGGGTACCCTAGAGCCATAGGAAACCATTGACTAGCCCAAAATGGATTAGGATACCCTAGTACCATGGGAATCAGGTGACCAGCCCAGCATCGATTAGGATACCCTGGTACCATGGGAATCAGGCGACCAGCACTGCATCGATTAGGGAATCCTAGAACCATAGGAATCAGGTGACCAGCCCAGCATCGATTAGGGAATCAGGGGACCAACCCAGCATGGATTAGGGTACCCCAGTACCATGGAAATAAGGTGACCAACCCAGCATGGATTAGGGTACCCTAGTACCATGGAAATAAGGCGACCAGCCCAGCATCGATTAGGTTACCCTAGAACCATAGGAATCAGGTGACCAGCCCAGCATGGATTAGGGTTCCCTTGAACCATAGAAATCTGGTGACCAGCCCAGCATGGATTAGGGTACCCTAGAACCATATTAATCAGGTGACTAGCCCAGCATGGATTAGGGTACCTTAGAACAAAGGAATCAGGTGACCAGCCCAGCATCGATTAGAGTACCCTAGAACTATAGGAATCAGGCGACCAGCCAAGCATGGATTAGGGTACGCTAGAACCATAGGATTCAGGTGACCATCCCAGCATCGATAAGGGTTCCCGAGAACTACAGAAATCTGGAGACCAGCCCAGCATGGATCAGGGTACCCTAGAACCATAGGAATCAGGTGACCAGCCCAGCATTGATTAGGGTTACCTAGAACCATAGGAATCAAGGGACAAGCCAGCATTGATTAGGGTACGCTAGAACCATAGGAATCAGGTGACCAGCTCAGCATGGATTAGGTTACCCTAGAACCATGGGAATTAGGTGACTAGCCATGCACCTATTAGGGTACCCTAGAACCATATGAATCAAGGGACAGGCCAGCATTGATTAGGATACCCTAGAACCACAGGGATCAAGGGACAGGCCAGCATTGATTAGGGTACCGTAGAACCATATGAATCAAAGGACAGGTCAGCATTGATTAGGATACCCTAGAACCATAGGGACCAAGGGACAGGCCAGCATCGATTAGGGTACCCTAAAACCATAGGAATCAAGGGACAGGCCAGCATTGATTAGGGTACCCTAGAACCATAGGAATCAGGGGACATGCCAGCATCGATTAGGGTACCCTAGAATCATGGGAATCTGGTGACCAGCCCAGCATGGATTAGGGTACCCTAGAACCATAGGAATCAAGTGACCAGCCCAGCATGGATTTGAGTACCATAGAACCATGAGAATTAGATGACCAGCCAAGCATCGATTAGGGTACCCTAGGACCATAGGAATTAGAGGACCAGTCAAGTATCGATTAGGGTATCCAAGAACCATAGGAATCAGGTGACCAGCCCAGCATAGATTAGGGTACCCTAGTACCATGGGAATTAGGTGACCAGCCCAGCATGGATTAGGGTACGCTAGAACCATAGGAATCAGATGACCAGCCCAGAATGGATTAGGGTACCCTAGTACCATGGGAATCAGGTGACCAGCCCAGCATCGATTAGGGAATCCTAGAACCATAGGAATCAGGTGACCAGCCCAGCATCGATTAGGCATACTAGAACTATAGGAATCAGGGGACCAACCCAGCATGGATTAGGGTACCTCAGTACAATGGAAATAAGGTGACCAGCCCAGCATAGATTAGGGTACTCTAGTACCATGGAAATAAGATGACCAGCCCAGCATGGATTAGGGTAGCCTAGTACCATAGAAATAAGGTGACCCGCCCAGCATGGATTAAGGTACCCTAGAACCATGGAAATAAGGTGACCAGCCCAGCATGGATTAGGGTAGCCTAGTACCATGGACATAAGGTGACCAGCCCAGCATGGATTAGAGTACCCTAGAACTATAGGAATCAGGCGACCAGCCAAGCATGGATTAGGGTACGCTAGAAACATAGGATCAGGTGA